TGTGATGTGGCATTTCCAGGCTACCAAAACTAATAAAACAATATTTTCCAATAACTGACTTGGAGATATTTGGGACAACAATTTTCATCTTCCTTAACCTGTTGCCATTAGTGGATGTTGATAATCATAGCCCAAACTATCTAGTAAATACTAGATTGAGTGCCCTGAAATGACCATATGACAATTTAGATGTTTTAACAATTAAAATATTAATGAGGTTTGCAGCTCAGTTTGTTCATTAATGACTCACCGATTCTTTTCTAGTTCGTTGTGCGTAGACCTGAAAGATAAACCAAGAACAAGAAATCATTAGATATCACTAGTCTACTTCATAAGCCCATTTTCATTAACACCTCTCTTTATTTTAGTGTCTTGCAGATATATTAGTGGGTAATTCCCATCTTTCAAAGCAATTTGGGAAATACCAAATTGAATGATGGCTGTCATAAATCTTGAACAGTTTTTCATTCCCAGATTCATATTCAAAAACATAGCCAAATATACTACAATGTAAGTAATTTAATATCTACAACTGTATATCTTACTGCAAAATGCTAAGCTTTACAATTTATCTTCAGCTGAATATCAATTTGCTTATTGCTTTAGTCACCATTACTCTAGTATGAAACAGTCCTAACCAAATCATTCTATAAATAAGATTCTGGTTATGGTGATTAAAATAATTTTAAAAAGAACAGAAATAAATGAGAAAGCCCCTCGTTATACAAATCTTTCCTTACATTTAACTACTATATGTATTCATGTTGATAGCAAACAATCAACAAGTTTCCAAATAAATTTACAGAATTTATCTTTTTATAATAACATAATATATAACAACTAAAGTATGTAGAATTTGCCAAGCATCAATTATAAATTACTATAATTAATTAAAAACATTTCACTGCTTTAAAAAAAACTATACTGTAAAGTAAATTGATCCCAAAATGTCTATTTTGTTTTTTAAATTCAAATTTAAGATTTGACAATATATTTTAATGAATTATCATCACATTTTTCTGAAGCTCAAATACTGCCTTCCATCATCAATTGAAAGAATCTTTAATGAAAACCATAACATTTAATTAATGAAGAATTCCAGGCTCAGTGAGAATTTTCTGTGTATCAATAACTTCTAAAAATGGCAGTCAGTTCTGCCTTTTTGCAGAATGAAGACATACGTCCACCCTCAGCTCAATGATTGATTTATAACTGATTCCAACACGGGCAGACTGATAATGGAGAACTTCTAATTGTATGTATTACAGACCTTAACCATTTCTTTAAAAATTCTTTCTGATAAACTACCAGAAAGACAAAGAAGATGGCATCAAACAGCTTTGTAGGCGGGGTTATGCTCTGATGTTACAGATTTTCACAGAGCTTAGACCATTTAAAGATCATTAATTCAGTAGTGATTTATTACTAAACTAAATAGTAATTGCTGGACAAGCGGCTTGCTTGGATTTAGTAACTGGGTGTAAGAGAAGATTAACTCAGAAATGGCCTTTAAGCAAAAAAACTCAAAGAGTGCTGGCAGTTCACC